GAACTCTGCAGTTCTAAACTGTCCAGCTTGGGCAGGGTGGGTGGTCCTCTGGGTTAGACCAGAATGTCACAAGTAGGAGGAGGAAGGGAGAACCCCAAGGCGCCCAGCTCCTGCTTCTCTGTCTAGGAGGCTGGGCCATGGGCTCTTTCTGTGGGATCTTCAGTGGAGTCCAGCAGGCCCTCCTTTGGGCCCCCATACTCAGTGTTGGGTCAAGTGCAGTGTCTCACTTCTGCATGGCACATTTGTGATTTGAAAGGTGCTGGCTCAGGCACTGTCCCTCTTGACCCGTTGATGGCTGGGCAGACACTACTTCCCTTTTCCTCTGGGGGTCAGAGGCACAAAACACTGAGTGGCAGTGAAGGGCGCCCACCTAGTCATTGCTGAGCTAAGAATCAAACCGACATGTCTTTCTCCCTCCCCACGAGGGGTCAGCCCCAGAGTGGGGCAGATGGGGTTCTGAGGTCGGGAGCACTGCTGGAGTGATGGCCAGGCCTTCAGCGTGGCAGGGCAGGAGCAACTGGATCGAAGCACATGGCCGGCTGTTTCTTCACAAGGAAGGCAGAAAATGGTGTGTCCTGGAGAAATAGAAATATCTTAACATATTTTAGTAATACGTTCCGGTTCTTCTAAAATCGAAAATGGGGTAGAAATAACTTCCAGTTCATATGAAATGTTTTATTTTACACTGTGAGAATGTCCTCCTCTTGTTTTTTCAAACCACAGCACCGCTGTGTGGCCATCTTTAAAGACAAGCAGAACAAGCCCACGGGCTTCGCCCTGGGGAGTATCGAGGGCAGAGTGGCCATCCACTACATCAACCCGCCAAACCCGTGAGTGTGCTCGGGCAGCGGGCGGGTTTTCACTCGAGGCTTTTTTTTAAAAAGAAAACTTACCTGCATCTTTGTTTTTCAGGGCCAAAGATAACTTTACCTTTAAATGTCACCGATCTAACGGAACCAACACTTCAGCTCCTCAGGACATCTACGCAGTACGTTTTTAGAAACTTAGCCTTGGGAATGGAATGCATTAGAAACCAGACTCGGGGGTGGGTGGCTGAGTCATTGTGGGACCAGAGACGATGACGGGCATCGTGGTGCTCATGTCGGGAGGTAAACGGCTCATGCCGTAGGTTGCAGTTTTCTGTTTTGGCGAACGTGCTGACTGTCTTTGTCCTCTGAGTGTTTGTTTCTGAGTGCAAGCTCAGGGCTTTTGGCGAAAAGTGTCCCCTCCTTCAGGGTCCCTTCCCTTATGGTAGATGGTTTATACACTTAGCTTACACTGAGAAATTGCTGTTTGCTCAGGAAGAGGGGCATTTTCCTGAGGTCATGCCTTAGTGTCACTAGCTACGCATTTGTTAACTTCTGCTGACTTGTGTTGGTAACGAGACACAATTCGGTCCTGGGCTGGCTGTCGCTCAGGGAGCATGGCTAGTTGTTTCTGTGACAGGCGCAGCGGCTCAGTGCAGACAGTCGGGGCACCTGTTTTAACTAAAGCAGGAAGTGCGCTGGTGGAAGTAGGTTTCTCCTCTCTCTGTCTGCCTCTCATCTTGCATGTCAACCCCGCAGGTCAATGGAATCTCGTTCCATCCTGTTCACGGCACCCTTGCCACCGTGGGATCTGATGGTAGATTCAGCTTTTGGGACAAAGATGCTAGAACAAAACTGAAAACTTCGGAACAGTTAGATCAACCCATATCAGCCTGCTGCTTCAATCACAATGGAAACATATTTGCTTATGCTTCCAGCTATGACTGGTCCAAGGTGAGAGTTCCCGGCCCCCCACATTCCTCCTCGCACACATGGCAGGCACACTAACCTCCACTCCTACTTCCCTTCTCTCTGGGTCTGGGGACAGCTCCCCCTGGGCATGCCCTTGTCCCTGGGAGGTCATGGATCAGAGGTCTCCTCTTTCATGAAACCAAAGGTCAGAGCTGATCGCCGCCCTCCCCGGGGCCTCGCTCTCTAAGGGTGGTCGTCTTGGTTTATCAAAGGGGTGGTGGATTAAAGAGGCTTGGCACCTAAAAGACGAACATGTAAAAGGTGGTTCCTCCAAGTGGGACATGGAAGGCAGACTCCCACCAAGTCCCCAGCCTTCTGTCTGAGGACTGACGTTACTGTCCAGCGGCTGGCTTTTCTCTTCATTACCTGTTTGTTCTCCAGAGAGATTATGCTTCATGCATGTAGTACAGGACGTGGCATGTGAAACATGCCCACAAAGTGCGAACTTTTGCTTTTTCATAATAAGATTATTGTGTGTGTTTTCCCCCTAGGGCCATGAATTTTATAATCCCCAAAAGAAAAATTACATTTTCCTGCGAAACGCAGCCGAGGAGTTAAAACCAAGGAACAAGAAGTAGTGGCGGAGAACTCTGTTGTCCAGAGTCGTTTTCTCTGCACTCTGCCTGTCTGTGTATGAATCTGGGTCCCAGCTTTTGGTGGGTTCTGAACCATGGATGTGGATTTCAACCCGTGGGGAAAACAATGTCATTATTCAGCAGTTGGGCCCCGTGGGCACGGTGACTGTTGGTCTCTCCATTCCACTGCCTGTTACACATGTCCTCTAATTCTACAGGGATTGAGGTCATCAAAGTTAGAGTCAGGTGGGCCCCTAGTTTGCAGTGCTCAGTTCAGCAGTGTGTTCCAGAGACACTGGGAAACATTTTATGAATGCTGTACTGTACTTTGTAATAAAACATTTTAAAGATTGCCTACTAAGCTCCCTTTGTCCATCTCCCCCCTGCCCGCCTGCCCACTCAGAAAGCTCTGAAGTAATCATTCCTGTCTGCATCATCATTGGGCTTTGATTTGTGACTCTGATGCCCATTGGGAAATGCAAGGATCTTGCAGCTTAGGAAAGGTGGGAATCCTGGGCTGTGAATGACTCTTTCTACTAAATGGAATGTCCAGCAACAGCCTCCAAGCATGGACCGGCAGAGTTGGAATGTGTTTTTCTTGTCCTTCCTTCATTCCCATCTTTAACATCCCCAGTGCTTTTCGGCTCTGCTGGGCAGCTGTCCTGGGACTGAAACGGGGAGTGTTCCTTATGCTGAGGCACGGGCCTTCTTGGGCAAGGTCTTCAAGTCAGAGCCTGGTTCCCTGCATGGGAAGTGTTCTTTACTCGTGCCCCCAGTAGTGATAGTTTTGGGGTGCTGCTTTTTTATTTCATGTAATTTTAAATTCCTGATTGGTAAGTATCAAATGAAGTTCAACTTGATGTTTGACTTTGGAGTCTGTTGTGTTTTTATCCTGTGATCCCAAATGCTTCTATGCTTACTATTTGGGGCTGGTGTGTAAACTAACTTGTTGAGTGTGGAAATCTGGTGTCATGTTGTAAGGTGTGTTTGCCTACTCAAAAAGCAATGAAAATAAAATTTTCAACTGGAAGAGACTGCCTGCGCTCAGTGGTGTAAATTCTTTGGTACTTGGAGCACAGATGAATTCAGACCCATTAACTCTTTGGCTGTCTTGGCCTGAAAGGTTACTTTTTTTTTTTTTTTAAGAGAAAAAGTCACATGCACTGGAAAAAGAAACCTGAATTTTCAAGTTAATCTTTTACATCTCGTCTCCTTTTATGACTTGGCCCTGTGGCTTTATAATGTGTACAGACAGGGAGATACAGAGGTAGAAAAGAGGGTTCTTTTCCAAGACCGGGCCTTGCCACATTACCAAGGGGATGGTTTTTGTAACTGGCTACTAGACGTGTAATTGGCAAATTGGAAATATTCGCTTAAGTCTAAGATTGAAGTTGGAGTGAGGTCACTGCTTGTTGCCCAGCAGGAGCATAAAAGACTGCCACATGTTTGCTGATGATGAACCAGAAAGTACTTGTTGAAATCATTAAACTTCTCAAGATACTTGTTTTCACGTTTCCTAAAAGGCACAGGGATTCTCGAACCCTTCCATCTTAAACCTCCCATCCCTGCAAGCACCAGTATGTTGCATATGGTAGGTGTGCAGTAGGTATTGGTAAATTTGATGGCATTTCTAGTTCAAAAAGATACAAGTGTAGTCTTGACTTAATAAATGGCAAGTCATTCTGCATTAATGTACTGTACACCTAGTTAAAAAATAGAAAGTGGCATCTATAAACCACGGAGAAGACATGTTAGTGTTCCCCACATTCCCCCCTCCGCGCACATCTTGTTAGCAGTTTCAAGCACACGGGAGAGTTGAGAAAGTTAGACGTAAAGGCAGCCCTGGACTCTGCAGTTCACACTCAGCTTTTCTGTCCGGTTCTCCCAGGCTTTTCCCCTCCGTTGGTAGTAACACCGCTTTCTTGGTTACTGAGTGTAGACGAGAACTGGTGGGGTAGAGGGCGTACTGAGATGAGGCTGAAACAAGGTGTCAATAGGGATTTAGAAGTTGTCTACAGGAGGGTGCACGTCTAACCCTGTGTTCAGGGGGCAGATACTGGAAACAACACGGAAACGGTGCTCTGCATGCGAGCATGCCTCCTTCGGGGGCCTGCTGAACTCTGCCCGCTGACCCCTGACCCCATCGGCCTGGCCCTACGTGAGAGTGCGCTGGCTGGCTGCAGTGAGTCACCTCTGTCCCCAAACGGACTCCACCAACAGAGAAGCCCCTCAGGGGCAGTGTCTGGAGTATTCCCGCAGGGGGATGCTGTGTTTCAGTGCAGCCAGCAGATGGTGCCAGTGACTCCAGTGCCACCGTAGGGGGACAAGTTCTGTATTCAACTTCTGGGACTTCAGTTTATTAGAGGAAATGAGTGTGGGCTCCCCGTCTGCTGTCGTTACTGAGCTTGTAAGACACTTGGAAAGTGGAATCAATCAGTTATCCTGTGAGAGGAATATTCTTTAAAATAATACACATCTTTAGAAAAATTGATGGCCTCCCTAGGATACACAAAAAGCAACCATTTTTCAGAGTCCTGGTTTTTCTTCTTAATAATTTAATGTTCCCCGTTGGTTTCCCTCTGGGGCCTTGAGGGCTGGTTGCCTGTGATACAGGGGACTCTGACCGTTCACCCTTTAGCATGATTCCTGCCCTGGTTTGGAAAGGAAAGATGAAACCCAAATCTCCATCTCAGATGGGCATTGGTGGCAAACAGGGCTATTTTAAGGCAAGTTTTAGTAACTTGGAAGCTCTAGGCCTATGTGTGGCTAGTGGGAATTGAGGTGTAAATAAATGTAAAATGCACAGCAGATTTCAAAGATTTGGTACAAAAAAGAGTATAAATATCCCATTTTTCATGTCGATTGCATGTTGAAATGATAGTATTTTGCATAATAAAATTAATTTCACCTGCTTGTACTTTTGTAACTGGCTACTGGACATGCACCTGCACTGGCTGGCAGGATCTCTCCTTAGGACTTTGCTGCCCTCGGCCCTGACATTGGGTTTCCCCATCCATCACATCAAATATTAACTTGCACCCCATCCCACCTTAAATGCACTTTCTCTCACTGCAGATTTTTTTGAAGTGTTTTTCACTTATTTTGAAATTATTTGGCAATTTCTACACTTGGCAATGATTTCTTAATGACCACCTTAAATACTAGGGAATTTCTCAAACAAAGTGTTTCCTGACAGATTGTTGTCCAATGTATTGAATGTGTTGGAACACTAGTAAGGTCTGCAGTATTGCGTTTGTAGACATTTTATGAAACTGATCTATTTGGGATTGTTATTTTTATATTTTGAAGCAAATTTCCTCTCTCTCTTTCTTACCCTCAAACATTTTTGGACATCTCTGGACAAGCTCTCTCTATATAAGTCCCAGACCATGGGTCTAGAGTGCCTGGAGGGAGTCTGTCCTGGCTGCAGTGCTTAGAAAGGCAGTTCAACACAAGCCTCCTGTTTCCTGGAGAGGTGCTGGGGTGACAGCCAGAGGCTGCCAGTGTGTCACAGCTCTGCGGGACTTCCTGCTAAGTGAGGTTCCCCAGTTCACAGAGCTGGGCAACAGAAGGCGGGAGAACCCTGTGGCTGCAGTTATGAGAGTTTTTATCATAATAGGTGTTGTTACCACAAGGCAAATACAAGCAGAGTAAATTATTCTATAGCCTGTTGTTTGTAAGTCTATTGTGAATTTTGCATCAATATATTGAGAAATACTTTTTAAGGTGAGGGCTGTTTACAAAGCAAATAAAAACCTCTTGCATACTTGCTTAAAGTAAGTTGGTCCCTTAAAAAATAACTGGCACGCATTCTTATTCCTGTAGGTTCTTCCCGTGGGTGTGGGCAGGGGAGGGAGTGGAGAGAGGAAGCTGACAAAGTCCTAAAGAAACTGTCAATCACCAGCTTCCCATGAGTCCAAGTCGATGCTGCCCTTTGGGTTACCCTGGCCATGGCAGTGCCGGGCACATCTTTCTCTTCTCTGCCACCAGACAAAAGTGTGGGCCTCTTCCTCTGTGTACGAGTCTCCTTCAGTGATCAGATGTGGCCGATGTCCTGTCATGCAGTGTCCGCATCACTCCAGGTGAGTTGTGGATCTTGGTCCCCGACCAGATTCCACTGGGCTGCTTGGGCACCAGGCGAGGCTGGCTTTTCTTACTCACTCTGACCTGAACTCCTGGTCACCACTGGCCGCCTTCCTCTGCAGGTCGAGCCCTGGCACCCCGACCTTGGGCGCCTCCTCATGCACCGAATTTGCCATAATTTCCCTTCCTATGTGGATCTTCCTGGCTCTCAGGGGTTGGCCTTTGAAACAAGTACAATGGAGGCTGATCTTTTCTGAGGAAGAAGACCCTGACGACCAGTACTTCCCACCACTAGGTTCATGGCTACTGGTGTGGAGGGCCCAGGGAATCTGTCAGGCTCTTCACCCACTGGGATTTCATGTAACATGACTCAGTCCTCAGGCCACATCAGGGGACTTTGCATAAGGGCCCTGCGGCCAGTGTGGAAGGCCCCACACACGATTCTGTTCAACAACTGAGAGTTGCCTGCAAAGCAAAATAGGTATTTGTTATGGACTGAATTACCCCGACCCCCCAATTCACATGTTGCTGCCTTAACCCCCAGTGCCTCAGAATGTATTTTGAGACACGGTCTTCAAACAGGTGATTAGTTAAATGAGGTCACTCGGGCAGGCTCCAATCCAATATGACTGGTGTCCTTATAAGAGATTAAGACATAGGCACACACAGAGACAGACCATGTGAGGACACACAGAGAAGATAGCTGTCTGCAAGCCACCGAGAGAGGCCTCCCCAAAACCCACCCCTCCTGACACCTTGATCTTGGACTTCTGGCCTCCAGAACTGTGAGGATATAAATTCTGTCATGTAAGCTGCGGAATCTGGGTTTTAGCAGCCCGAACTGACGAAGACAGTATTCCCAGGTGTGAAGTGGTGTCCCCCTCACCGTCCTGGGGATAGATTCCATGCCCACGCTGCACCTACAGGAGCCCTCACAAATACACCTGGGCTCCCAGGACCGGTGGTCTCATTCACCTGCCAGCTGCACCTGCTAAGGCAGGGTCACCTGGCCAGCACTCACCAGGAAGACCCTGGCCAGCGAAGCAGGTGGTCACCCTCACTCCAACACAGGGACAGGCTTTGGGTCACAGACTTCTCGCAGCCTGGGTATTAGCCATATATGTACTGGGCAAAGGGGCTTCCATTTGCACGACGGGGCTTCCCAGCACACCTGCCTCCCTGTGCAGTGCCCGAAACTGAAAAACTATAATCCTTGTTCCCTATCAGCACTGGCCACTTTCCTAAGGGTGGTGGAGCTGGGCCCTTCAGCCCTGGGTTGGGGAGGTAGGGAGGGTGTCTTGAAGAAAGGGATTTGGGACTTTGTCCCCCAGGCAATGGGGAGCCACTGAACCCCTGACAGCATGCGTGGGAGGGCTGACGAGGCTGCCCCCTCCCCACCTGCCGCAGGCTGCTGTGCAGGCTGGAAACTGATGCGCGCCCAGTAAAAACATGAAAACTGCAGGGCTCTGCATTACCGAGCTCCCATTCAGCACGGGACGAGCTCAGCACTTTCTGTGTACTATCTAGTTTCATTCCCATAAAAGCCCTATGAGGAAGTGACTGTCATTATGCCCATTTTATAGCTGAGGCAGCTGAGGCCCAGAGAGTTTGTCTCGAGCACGTGAGTGACCTGTGCATGTCACAAACACAGGGCTGTCTGGCCTGCCCTCTGCTCTCTCAGCCAGGGCCCAGTGCTGCCTGCACAGAAGGGACAGTGACTTTAACCTCTTGAGGAGGAGCAGAAAGTTCCCTTTGCCCAGGGCCCTGTCTTTCTCTCCCCCTCCCCCCAGCCCCAGACAGCGTCAGCCTCCTAGGTCTAACACAGCAAATGACCACAATCTGGGTGGCTTGACATGAAATTGGTTGTCACAGTTCTGGAGACCAGAAGTCCAAACTCAAGGTGTCGTCAAGGCTGTGCTCCCTGTGAGGCTCGAGCAGGGAAGAATC